AATGTAAATTATAAATCTTTTTAAAATTTTTAAAAAGAAAAAAAAAAATTAAATGGGGGCTAATAATTCTGACTTCAACTGTGTGTGTGTGTATATATATATATATATATATATATATATATATATATATATATATATACACACACACACACAGACACACAAAAATAGTAACTTTTATACACTGAAAAAAATGGTTCATTGGATTTGCTAAATTATTTCAAGATAAAAGGTTTAAAAACTATTTATATGTTTTTTTAACAAAATGCAGCGTCTCTGCGATTTCATGTTGACGTCTTGTGGTCATCATACAGTAAACATCCGTCATCTTCTCATCAGTGACACCTAAACAGTCTCTGGGTCAGTGCGTGAAAAGATTTTGGACATCATCTTGGATACTTTTAGTGCTTCCAAACAGTTTGCTGCAGTTATAAAGTGCCATTTCTTGAGGTAGTTCATTATAATGCGATTACTCTCTGCAGTATGTGTGATTTAATTGAACAGGAATCACAGCACTGGTTTTCTAATCCCCATACACAAGAAATAATACAGTAGTGACTGCAGGTTAGAGGACAGTGGAGTAACAGTACAGATACTGCACTAAACATGTACTCAAGGGAAAGTAAAAGTGCACATCTTTAAAACTACTCACTAGATTATAATTCCTGAGAAAAACTAGTCTACAGTAATTTGAGTATTTGTAATTAGTTGCTTCACACCACTGCTAACCACAGTGGCTGGTGATCAAAAAAGCTAATATCAAGCCCTGTTGTCAGACTGCTGTACTTTATTGTGTTGTCAATATGATCACGTTTATATAGGACTATTAGTGTGTGTGAGCCATAGCATTCAACATTTGTATGCTTATAACCTCCTCTGAAAATAGTGGCGGTCGTGAGTCACTGGCATTGTTATTCAGGGGGTCATAGGATGAAACGTTTGGGAAGCTAACTTAAGTGTGTGAAATAACAGAGAATGTGCTGCAGTTTATTACAAGGCTTCTGCAGTGTAATATACAACACCAACACGCATAATATAGCACTGCAGACGGATGCAACGATTAACGTTTTTACTAATAACCGTGATTTAATTCATCACAGTTAAATAATCGTAAGGCTTCTCAACACCGTGTTTTTGCACGGAACAAAACTGCAGCAACTAAACAAAGTGATGCCAACTGTGAGCTAGTTTGTACACCGAGACTAATAACCACGCACACTGGACTGACTATGACTGAGGCTATTAATTAAGGCAAGCTCGTTTAAGTTGGTTATTTCCAATGAAGGGACGCGCACGCAACGCAATGCGTTCACATTTTTTAGGCGCACCTAGTTGAGATGACGGGGCTTTTGTGACTGCAGGAACTGCATACGGCTGAAGTTTGAGAAACAAGCAATGGAAAGTGCACAGGTTTGCAAACCCTCTTACAAATAATAGCGCAGATGAGAGCGATCATGTGGCGAGAGTTGATCCGCCAGCCGAGATTAATCGAGTAATGAGAGAGTGCTGAAAGACTCAAGCCTGTTTCACACCGCACAGCCTGTTTATTTTTTATTTTTTTTGCCGTCCGTGTTAACAAGTTAGAGCGTTCACACTGCACACAGAAGCAGCATGTCAGCACGAGGCGTGAGCACCACTGAAGCAGCAGTGCCATGACAGTTTTGGCACTGGGTCTATTTTTTCCAAATAAGGTGACAATGCATTGATAATGAACCAAAACACACTGAATGACAGCAATTTTACCCAATAAATGCATCAATAATATCCACTGATTTGCATACAGTCAATCAAATTAACTTTTAAGACGGCAACAAATATGCATTCAGGCCCGAACTACAAATCCAAATTTAAAATAATTTTAGTTTTAAACTAGTGGAAATCAATGAATGCAAATAATCATTACAACCGAGATCCTTACTTAGACTATAATCTTACAACCTTTATAATCATTGCATCCCTACTGGGCGAGGCAGTGGGGCAGTAGGTAGTGCTGTCGCCTCACAGCAAGAAGGTCGCTGGTTCGAACCTCGGCTCAGTTTGCGTTTCTGTGTGGAGTTTGCATGTTCTCCCTGCCTTTGCGTGTGTTTCCTCTGGGTGCTCCGGTTTCCCTCACAGTCCAAACACATGCGGTACAGGTGAACTGGGTAGGCTAAATTGTCCGTAGTGTGTGAATGTGTGTGTGAATGTGTGTGTGGATGTTTCCCAGAGATGTGTTGCGGCTGGAAGGACATCCTCTGCGTAAAAACTTGCTGGATAAGTTGGCGGTTCATTCCGCTGTGGCGACCCCCGACTAATAAAGGGAATAAGCTGACAAGAAAATGAATGAATGAATAAATGAATGCATCCCTACTGCAGACTGTTACACATGTGCAGAAAAGACTAAACTTTTCAAGTTGTTGGAAGAAAAATCAAGATCCAATGCAATTCAAAAGCTTAAATAAACGAGGAAAACAAAATCACGACTCACAAAAGTACAGTGTAGACAGCACATTAAATTAAGCTAAAACATGACATGATCATCTTGACCCCATGAACATTATATTAATGCCTCAAACATCAGTAAAGACTGAAAAGCAGCTCTAACAGAAGGTTTGCTGGTGATTTCCTCCAGAACGTCCCCTGTTTGAGTTCTGCGTTGAATATGTGGTCATTTTCAGCATCTCCTCCTCCAAGTCATTGCTGCTAGTCTTTTTTTTTTTTCACAATGAGCATAAAAGTGACACTCCTGCGGGGTTAAAACTCACCGCTGTTCTCTTGTCAGATCTCTAACCAACACACCACACCACCCACACAGCACGTTTGATAGCGCAGCGCTTTGAACATGCTTTAATACCCCGAACAGCCGCCACTCTTCCAGTCATTCTGATAAATATAGCGCATCGAGCACCGAAATCAGTCTCAGACATGCAGATCAGTCTGAAAAATGCCCTGCCTGATGCACCCAAAACCTGTCTGACACTTCAACCGCAAGTTTCCACTGTGGCAGAAATATGTATGGGCAGAAAGAGATGCATCTCAATAAGAATAATCATCGAGTGGGTGACCCAGACATCTCAGGTGCTCATGTTTCCCACACACTCGACGTGTGCGGTTTGATGATGCATCGCACATTGCAGACTTCAAAAGAGCATGCTTGCTTTTTTTTCTTGTTTCATTAAATTCAATGCACTTTTATATTACATGCATGCACGTTATTTATTTATAATGCAAAGTGTTGGTCATAGGACGATCAGTGCAACGATTATTTAAAAATGCTAAAGTCTGTATATCTGAGCTTTGAGATGTGAAGGTTTTCAGAGGAACTTCTTTAATGTGTGAAAACAGCATCATGGGATCTTCCTACACTGAAATAACAACAGAGAAAATGATGTGGAAACTGCTCTTAATCAGAAAAGGCATGTAGAGGTCAGAGATAATTACTAGGCAGAAGTGTTGGTGTCATTCAATTCAGTTCAAGTTTATTTGTTTAGCGCTTTTCACAATAATTAATTCAGTTTCTATTACAAAAGTAAAGATATTACACATTTAATTTAAGGCCAGTTTAATGTAGTGGCTTGTATATATGTTTATATAAAAAGGAAGCTGAGTTATTGAGGTATTTTATTTTTGTTGTTCGTTTGCATTTCGCAGAGTAATTGCAATTTTATTTTTAAGACTATTGCAGAAAACAGTTTTTAATTCAGTCTTTTTGTGCAAGGATTATTTAAAAATGCTCCTTATTTTTATTTGATTCAGTTCAAGTAAATTGGTATATCACAATAATTAATTCAATTTCTATTGAAAAGTAGAGATATTATATATTTATTTTAAGGCCAGTTTAATAAAGTTGCTTGTCTTAATTGCTGTGCATATGTTCATCAGTGTGAATAACTAAAAAAATGTATACAATTTAAAGGCATGGTGTTATTGTGGGGTATTTTTGTTATTTGTTTACATTTCGCAGAGTAATTCCAATTTTATTTTCAAGAAAATTGCAGAAAACAGTTCATAATTTTCTTAAATTCAGTCCTTTTTTGCAATAATTATTTTCAAATGTTAAAAATGCAGAGTTCCACACAATTAATTCATGTTGTTTCAACATAAATTAAGTTAACTTTAACACTTTTAACAAGTTTATGTGGATTGAACATAAAAAATTAAGTTGTCCTAATAAAATCACAAGAATTGTGTTGTTTTTGCTCATTTTAATTAAGTAGTTTGAACAAATTAAAAAATATTTGTAAGGTTATCAACACTTTGAGGTATAAAGAAATGAAAGGTTTTAGGAGGGACCTCTTTAATGTGTGATAAACAGCTTCTTCCTACACTGAATAGCAACAAAAAATCAATCAGAAATGGCATGTAGAGGTCAGAGATAATTACTAAGCAGCAGTGTTGGGGTCATTCAGTTCAAGGTTATTTGTCTAGCGCTTTCCACAATAATTAATTCAATTTCTATTAAAAAAGTAGAGGTATAATACATTTAATTCAAGGTCAGTTTTATGTAGTTGATTGTCTTAAATGCTGTGAATATGTTCAACAGTGTGAATACATTTTTTTTTAATAAGGCAGAGTAATTGTGTTTTTTGCTGTCTATTTTCATTTTGCAGAGTAATTCCAATTTTATTT